ATTTTTATAAAAAATTATGATTTATTTAATTTTATAAAATATGATTTATTTAATTTTGGTCGTACGGTAGCTATTGCAATGCTTACGGTAGCTATTGCAATGTTATGAATCTATTTTTTGATCAACATTTATATTTCGTATATTAATGTCTTATTATTGCAACGCTACGCAAGAAATATATTTGCTAAAGCATAATTTTATTTGCATACATTATTTACATGAGCATTTGCATGAACGTTAGTATAAAAGAATGCAAATCACAGTGAATTCGCAGTTTTATAATTAATTCATTTTCTAAAATATTATCGATTGATATAACCGAGAGATACGAGCTTAATAAATAAATATGTACTTAAAAAAAAAGTTATAGAAGTTTTTATTGTTTATATTTTCATACATTTTTTATTTTATTAATTCTTTAAATTAAAATTATAGTTATTCATTTTAATTAACTTAAGAATTTTTTAATCAACAATTTATTAATTTTGATAATATTTTTTAAAGATTTTTAGACATAATAATACATGATCTACATATTATACAAGATTATTCATCCTTCTTGTCCAACAAATTTTTTTTAAAATAATCAGTTATTATAAAGATACATTAAATTCATTATAAATTAGCTATTTAAATAAATAATTATTTAAATAATTAAAATGAAAGAGTCATTAGATTTTCAAACTGCATTTGATACCAGATGCAAAAAAAACTCACTGACAACGAAGAAAATTACGCATACAATGTAAAAAAATGTTATGTAACTGTTATGTAAATGTTATGTAAAATAAGTGTTATGTCGATAATATCTCGGATACATAAAGAAAAGCAGTTGAATTTTGAAGAAGTAGTAAATTCAAGAAGAATTGAAGGAATGAAACAAAGGTGTCGAAATTTTTATCAAAATTTCACCCGATGTTTATGTAAACAATATATCTAGATAAAATTACATCTCCACAAATCTATTTCTTGCGTAGAGTTGCGATAATAAGATATTATAAAATATAAATGTTGATCACCTCTGTGAATCTGGCACCCGACTTTCGAAAAATTAACTTTTTTATATGGAAACAGTTAGTATTTTGTTTATAGTTGTTTGTAGTAACAATAATCTCGTTTGTAGTTCAATCCATTAAAAGATATCAAAATTTAAAAAAATGACTTGCACCCGACATTAAAATATTTTAAATCCACTTACGCAATCTTTTTCAGAATCGTTTGTAGTTGTTTGTAGTACTTTTAGTTTGTAATACTTTAGTAATTTTGTTTGTAGTCAAACTGTTCAAAAATTATTAACAATTTAAACAAATGGCAAAGTTCACTCCTGACCATTTGTTTAAATTGTTATAACTTTTGAATAGTTCAACTACAAACGAAACTAAATTTAATGTCGGATGTAAGTTATTTTTTAAATTTTTATATCTTTTAATGGATTGAACTACAAACGAAATTATTGTTACTACCAACAACTATAAACAAAATACTAACTGTTTCCGTATAAAAAAGTTAATTTTTCGAAAGTCGAGTGTCAGGTTCACAGAGGTATTAAAATCGGGGGGGACACTTCCGATACTTCCCTTGTCAGTGCGGCGCGCTCCGATTCTAAGCATTTGAAAAGGTATTCCAAGCTATTTACGAGGAGTTGGGCAACAATGATCTTCTCAATCATTGCATAGGTGCCAAATAGGTAGTTTTATCCAAAACAGCAATGAAAGCTTTAATTTCATTGTCTGGACGATGTTTCTAAAATCAGTTTCCAGTGGCAAAGTTGTATTGGATATTGCAGCAAATATTGCTATTTGTGTTTATAATGATGGCTTGTCACTAGTGATACGCATTATGGAAGTCCTAGGCATGACAAGTGGCTCAAATTGCTACAACTTCTGTGTAGAGTGACGCGCATCAAACTGTCCGAGCGATCGCTGACTTATGAAAGCCAAACGGACTAGACTTTCTTTAAAATCGACCAGAAAGGAAGAAGAGAAAGAGAACGTTAACTTAGAAGGCCAACTATATGGCGCGGGCATCGCAGATTAGAGGTATATAAAAAATTTGTATGATTTTATATGTAAAACTTTAAACGCGTTTTTCTGAAAACGACATTTTTTTAACAGGCCGGAAACATAACTTGAACAAATCTTTACCGATTTGAAATTTTAACTATAGCTTCTCAATTGCATTCTCTACAGAAAGACGTACGGATTTTTTTTTATGTTGCATACTTTTTTTGTTATAAACAATTTTTTACCTAATTTTTAAGCAAAAATTTAACTTTTTATTCAAATTCATACTTTTATAAAAAACGTTATATTGCAATTTCCATACGTCTTTGTCTAGCTTTTGGAATGTAGGTTTTAAAAAAATTTGATTATTTGTTCTAAAATTGCGGGAGTTATTGTTCCGGCCGCGGAGCATTATCCACGAGAAGACAATGCTATTATAAAACTTTAGCGCCGCCATTTTGTGGCAAAATTACTTTAAAAAAATTTTTTTTTATACTTAAAAATATATAGAATAAAGACCTGTACATACATTTTTTATTCTTTTCATTACATTCCTGAAATAAACTCTTAGAATTAGGCTTATTTTTCGTACTCTAGAGTAGCCTTAGCTCTTAAGACAATTTTATGACATCAAATTTTTTAAATTATCCATATTTATTAGAATTTTTAATAATAAATATGATAATTTTACTGATAATTTTAAAATATCATTTGTCATACTTCATATTATTTCTAACATTGCAGAAGTGGAAAAGAGAAAAAGAATGAAATTGAAGAGAAAGATATTATTCCGAATTTATTTGACTTCGCGACGGTAAGTTCTTCAAAATAAAATTTTTACAAAAAAGATGTACTTGAATTATTTTGGAGAATTATTTGGATATTATTGGAATTCGTCACTTTTTAATAAAAGGGACGTAATTTCTATACATAATTTATATTTTCTCCGGTTATATTAAAAGGAATCTCCGAGAAAAAAGTTTATCTTTGTTATGATCTTTTGAAGTTTATCTTCTATTTTTGTAGGGAGCAATATGATAACAATTTGAATTCAAAAATATGCTGAATATATCAATGAAATTGACTCTGGGCAAAGTCTAGAAGTGACAGATTACTGTGTATATGATGCAAAACAAAGTATTATAAACTCAGTAAAAATAAACAGCATAAATGCGTACATATTGCATAATCAATACACACGTGTAAAAATACTGCATCAGATTATTGCCGATACATTGTTATGTCAAATATCATAACACTAAGATTACAGAAATATAGGTGTACAAAAAAGTTCTGAGCTTTTTTTTGTAAAATTCAATCTTTATTCAAAAACAAACAAAAAAATATTAATCAGCGAAATATTCCCCGTTTGCATCAACGATCTTTTGCCATCTTTCGGGTAGCTTGCGAATTCCTTGACGATAGAAGCTCACCGGCTTCGAAGCGATAAAGTTATCAATGCATTTTCGTATCTCTTCAAATCTCACGAAATGTGTATCAGCCAATGATGCTGCAGCGATCGGAATAGGTAGTAATCGGAAGGCGCCATGTCTGGGCTATACGCCGCGTGCGGGAGAGGTTCCCAGCCTAACGCAAAGATATGGTCCTGAGTCGCTTTCGCAACATGTGGTCGAGCATTATCATGAAGCAAGATCACTTTACGACATCCTTGGCCAGTAAATGATCTCTTTTCTTCTAATGCATCGCTCAAATTGGTCAATTGTTGTTGGTAGTGGTCTGCCGTGATTGTTTCACCCGGTTGTAACAACTCGTAATACAACACACCTTTCCAATCCCACCAGATACAGAGCAAAACCTTCTTGGCGTGGATATTGGGCTTTGGCGTCGATGTCGAAGATTGACCAGGGTCAACCCATGATTTTCTACGTTTAGGGTTATCATAAAGAATCCACTTTTCATCGCCTGTAATGATTTTGTGCAGAAAATTTTTTTTCCGAAACTTTGAAAGCAAAGTAAGTGCAGTGTCACGCCGAGGATTTTTGTTGTCTTCGGACAATTCATGCGGAACCCATTTGCCTTCCTTCTGAACCTTTCCCATCGTATGTAAACGTACGGAAATGGTTTGCTGCGTAACGCCAAGCTGTTCTGCAAGCTCTTTTTCAGTTTGCGCAGAGTTTATATCCAGCAGTGCTTGCAATTCGTCCGTTTCAATCTTTTGACGGCGTCCAGCACGCGGTTCATCTTCAAGACTGAAATCTCCTTGGCGAAATTTTTGATACCATCTTTTATATGTAGTACTTACAGCGTTCTCTCCATATGCAGCACAAATCATTGCAGTGGCTTCAGCAGCATTTTTCTTCAGATGAAATGTGAAATGGATGGAAAATAGAATATGCTCTTTTGTTATTGCCATCGTGAACACTACTAATTTTTGAAGTTATGTGCACCAAACGCCAAACCGCATGGCATTTTAGAAGGCCAAATGTCAACACTTTAAAACCGCAAAAGAGCGAGAAAATATATAAAATTTAAATTGTTATTTCGGTTGTATGAAATCTAAAGCTCAGAACTTTTTTGACACCTAACATATTATTATATAAATATATATATATATATATATATATA